AGATGCTGAAGGAAAGACGAGTAATGCCGGTTTCCAGAGTTTCGCCTTACCCGCTTCGTTCTTGTAGGAGCAAGAAACAAAAGGAAGCTGAATCACCTCTTGAGTCAGAGAGTGTGAGTGAATGGGAAGATGTGAGGTGTGTCATCTGCATGGAGCCGCCTCACAATGCCGTTCTCTTGCAATGCTCTTCCTTCTCCAAAGGATGTCGTGCTTACATGTGCGACACAAGCTCCCGTCACTCCAACTGCTTCAAGCAGTACCGCAGAAACAACAACAACAGCACAAGCCGCTGCAATGGGAAGACTCTAAACTGTCCGTACTGCAGAGGAGAGGTTTACGGGACAATGAAGTCGACTTGTGCAAGGAGATTCATGAATGCTAGACCGAGGTGTTGTACGATGGACAAGTGCGATTTCTCGGGGACCTATTCTCAGCTGAAGAATCACTTGAAAACTGAGCATCCCGGTTTCACAGCGCTAAAGTTGGACCCATGGGAGCAACACATGTGGGAGCAGTTGGAGAGAGAGGCGGAATACATTGAGATGATCAATGCTCGGCAGAGATGGGAAGCAGAACAGAGATTGTTGGCCAGCTCTCTCCATCAGCTTCCGTACCACCATTCCATCATTGATCTCAACTTTGATGCGTTCATTCATAATCTTTATATCGATGCATCCACGGAGAGCCGTGCAAGGAGCCAAGTAAACACCACCAGTTTCCCGGCTCACATGCCCCGGTTGGAGTTCCATGGACCCATGTATCCCAGATGGACGCCTTGAAGATTCAAATGCCGAGTGTATGATGAAATCGTTCAAAGTTTTGATGTCTCTTGATTTTTATCCATAATGTCAGTGTTTAGGTTTTATAGCGACATCAGTTCTGGTTCTAGGCTTAAATTTTATATTGTTTGTATTGTAGCTTCTGTTAGTGAAGTATCCATAGCTGCAACCTCATCTCTGCCAATTCAAAAATTTGTCTAAATCAAAATATTCACATTCTTCATTCTTGCCATGGTTTCAACTTGCATTACTGCAAATTTCTCAGTTTATGAACTCTATTGTCAGTCATATATCAAGAGATGAACATTTGTATTGAAACTCATATAGTCATATCAAAAGTGTTTCCCTCAAAAAGGAAGACGAACATTTGTATTGAAACTGATATATCAAAAGTGTTTCCCTCAAAAGGAAGATGAAAATTTCCAGTGATTAAATAATTCCGACTAATGATGTGCACAAAACATAATCAATGGTTGTTTGAAACAGAGCACAAGTAGCGAAGCGTGTACTCGTTGGACGAACACATATCTGCCAGATCTTGGTGGGCTCTGGTAATGGCCTTCTGCAGTGATCTCAGTGCAGGCAGTAGATTTCTGTAGTTTCGCTGAATAGAGCTCCCGTGTGCCTTGCAGATTTCCTGAACATAAAAAGAGAACATAACACTGATCAAGTAAGAGCAGCTATGCAGAGATTATCCGAAAAAAGGAAAGAGAAAATTACCTGACACCAGCGAAGTATAAACTCCAGATGAGGACAGTTCTCAAGCAGATCCACCAAAGCTTCCATAAGCCGTTCTAAGTATTTCTGGCTGACAGAGATTGCAACAGCTTTTATGTCTACGGGGGAAACAGCAAAGATGCATTTTTTGATGAGACTGTCTTCGTTCAAACGCATACTCAAAGCAAGTGCTCTGCTCACTTCACCCTCCTTTATGGCAGCCTCAACAGCCTACACAAACAACACATTACCTTGGCTTTTAGGAGTTTTAACCTTTAAGAAATTAAACTGAAATTAAACATTCTTCTTATTTTTTACACAGCTTTCCATCTTAGCAAACTAAGGATTTTACTTATCTGCGATTTTCAAAGCCAATAATCATCAGAACTAGAACCATCATCTGCTTAAGAAAATATCTCCAAACCAAATGATTTACAAAAGACTCACATCTGGTGTGACGTCTATGTCAAGATCGGTTGGATCGAAGATGAAGGATTCGTCGATTGAATAGAAGAGAACTCCTTCCGTTGTTGCAGCTGCAAAGCTCCTTCCAGTTGGGGCAATGCTAAGGCTTTTTGTCCGGATAATGGGCCTGCCACGATTAGGCATGGATCCAGGAAGATTGTAACCCAAATTCCCCCGAGTCTGTTTATCAATGCCACCTTCTTCATCGCTGTTGTCATCATCAATCAGATCCATTGGTCCTGCTTCTGTCATCTTCTTGGAGTTTAGGAAGTCAAGAACCCCATCTAACGAGAGATTATGGGATATCTGAAACCGGCGCAGTAGAACCTGAAAAAGTAATATCGCAGACCTTTTGACTAAGTTTCTTTTATAAGTAAAACACAGCTTTCAAAATCTGCATCAATCTTTCAAGGCCCAGAAAAGTTAAATTACAACAAGTGCTAACGAGCTAACCTGATCTGAGATGTCATACATGCAAATATATCTGCTACTTCCAGCGGCTAGAATATAGCCTCCGTCAGCAGTATAGCACAATGTTGTAAAGCACTTTCCAGAACTTGAATTAGCTGCAGACTGACGGTCAGTCATGCGGCGACCTCCAGCGATATCTCTCCTTCCCTCTATGGTGTACATCAACACACCATCAATGGTGTCCCAGAAATGGATCTGCCCATCTAGCGTACTCGAGGCTAATTGCTTCCCATCAGGACGGAAAACAACCGTTAGTACATCGTGGTTGTGTTGAAACGTCTCCACAGTGCCTTTGCTGGCAAACACATCCCACAACCGAACCGTATTGTCCCATGAGGATGATGCTAAAACTTGCTGCAGAGACGGACATATAGGAACTAAATAAGGCATCGCAGTTATAACACCATAAGCCAGAAGTATACATAACTCTGAAAAGATCTACACCATTAACTAGTATTCACATAGTTGTTTTGAGCCAAGAAACAAAATATATTGGACCAAGAGAAATACAAGACTACTACAGTTTATTTACCGTTAACGGAGAGAACATCAACCCATGAACAGGAGCCTCATGCCCACTCAGAATATCCTTTATTTGCCCAGTCTTCTTGGACCATACAAAAATCTGCACATAGGCAAGTAAAAAGTGATTCACCTCACCGAAAGAGACTGTAATTCAACATTTGTGATATGGGACTGAAATCAGTAAAGGCCTAAGTTGAATTACCTCAAATGAATCTAGGGTCCCAGCACAGACGACATCACCACTAGGATCTGCTGTTAAGGAAACAAACTGCCGTGGTGTAGGGGTTGTGTACGTCTTGTAGTTCTTGTATCTTCGAAAATCCCAAGCACGAACAGTGCCGTCCAGAGATGCGCTTAAGAGAGAGTGGTTGTCAGCCATGAAATGAAGAGCAGTGACTGCATTGGTATGCTCTGTGAAGGTGATGAAACATGATCCTGATGTAACGTTCCACACCTGTAAAATGCAATTATAATAAACAATGGGATTGTTAGTTTCAGAACTAGATGAGAAGCAAGGTACAGACCATAATAGTTAACTCTTTCAGATTCAATACCTTGACTTTGTTATCATCAGCACCAGTTGCCAAAAACTGTGAATCGGGTGAGTAAGTGACACAGTTGACATCAAAATAGTGTCCTTGTTGCTTAAGTATATAGCTTTCAGATCGCCACTCCCAGACTAACAGTTGCCCGAGTTTAGAGCAACCAAAGGTCAACCAATTACCACGCTCATTAAAAACAGCTGTTGTTAGCTTCTCCCTAGAAACAGACAGAAGATGGATACAGATGAAATCCAGCATCTGATAAAGCCCGAAAACACCATTTGAGAACCCCACCACAACCATGTCGAGCCCCTGGTGATAGTCGCAAGCTGACACCTTTGCTGAACCCTGATTAAACCCATCCTTCCTCAACAATTCCCATTTCCCTCTATGCATGTACTCTTCACCATCATCATCTCCTTCATCCTCGGAATCACGACCTCTACCGTCATACTTTTTTCGTTTTTTAAGTTCAGTGCCAATACCACTGCCATTTTCCACCATTACCTCATCACCCCTCTCTGGAGTATCAGGGGAGGGTGGCTCAGACCGGCCATCCTCTGATTCATCCAATTTGATATCCTTTCCAACATATCCCCAACTAAATATGTAACCATCCCGCGCAATGGTGAAAGCCCTGTTGACCTTGTTAGTCATTTTATCAACACCAAAGAAGCAACCCACAACAGAATCTCTATGACCCAGAAACAAAAAGGGCTTATTCAATACACCCTTCAACTTTCTAACGCTAAACAACCTAGCTGCTAAATCCTTTGCGCCGACAAGCAAATAATCAGAGTCCAAGCTCCACTCCAAGGACACAACTCTATCATCAGAATTAGCAAAAGTCCTAATCCTCTCAAAGGCGAAAACCTCACGACTGAAACCAGGTGATCGCCATATCTCGACTAACTTACCTACCCCAACAGCGATGAACTTACCATCAGGACTAAACTTCAAGGCCCCGACTTTACCCTTGAACTCCATTCTATGAAGAACCACCCTTCGAGGAACATTGATGAAGAGGCATCGGTTGTTTTCATCGACGGCGAGTAGGAAAGTCCCGTCGGGAGAGGCAGCGAGGCGGCAAATGTTGGAAGAGGTAAAGAGAGGAAGAGTAACGGTGTGGTGCTTGTTGAGGTCGGTGACGGAGACACGATTCCCGACTGGTGAAATAAGCAGAGTGTTCTGTGTGACGACGGCGTTCCCGCCTCTGTAGGGAGCGCCAAGAAGATTCTGGAAGCGGTAGTTCATGGCGTTCGGATTCCTCACCAAAAAGTCTGGAGAGAATTGAGAAAGCGGAGGATTGAAATGCCGGAGGCGAAGATTACGGCGTTAGGGTTTAACGAAGGGTTCCAAATCTCGGACCAAGAAACCCCTCTTTTCAATTATTTTTTTCTGATTTTAAATAGTTTTAATTTACCAATAAACCATCGATCTTTTGCTTTATTAATCTCATGGACAATTCGCGCAATTTGCAGGCTGGCCCATGGGCTTTGTATAAAAGCATGGAAATTGAAAAGGGTATAATTGAAATTTTGAAGTTTTTGAGGGGCATAAAAGGTAAAAACAAATTGAAGGACCTTGATTCGGGGGATTGAACCCGACGTGAATCGAACACGCAACCTTCTGATCTGGAGTCAGACGCGCTACCATTGCGCCACGGATCCTTGGTGCTATATGCTTCGTTTATTGGTTTAATAAATGCAAATTAATTTAAGGGTTTTTTCAGTCTACATTTGTAAAAAAAAATTACAAATTTCGTAAAGAACATCAAACTTAAGCAAAGTGGATTTGCAACTACACATATTATGAAAAACAAACAAATAAAATCATAATTGGGCAATGGGCAAAGAGCAATGCCAAGAACGAGAACAACCTACACAGAAGCGGAAGCATTGAGATTGGCAATGGTGAATTCGCTCGGGTACAAGAAAGTCATCTTTGTAACGGATTCGTATTGACGCAAGGACACGCTCAAAGGCCTGC